GGGACAGCGCCCAGGCCCAGAGTACAGGCCTCACGACCGGACCAAAAAAAAAAAAAAGGTGTTCTTTTGGGGCTGGGAAGATGGCTCAATAGAAGAGTGCTTGCCTTGCATGCATGAGGCCCTGGGTTCAATTCCTGAGCACCACATAAGCAGAAAAATCCAGAAGTGGTGCTATGGCTCAAGTGGTAGAGTGCTATCCTTGAGCTGAAGAACTGAGGGACAGCGCTCAGGCCCAGAGTTCAGGCCCCACAACTGACTGTGATTCCTTTTTTACTTCTGTTAATGGATTGGTGTCTTGTGTTACATTTTTTTTGATTTATATATATTGAACAAGCTTTGCATCTTTGGGTGAATCCCATTTGATTATAAAGTATGATTTTTTTGATTTCTTGTTGCCTTCAGTTAGCCAGTATTTTATTGAGACATTCTGTACCTATTTTCATCAAAGAGAGGCCTTTAGTTCTCTTTTTTTGATAGGTAAGCATATTGAGTATGCTAGGCAGTTACTCTACTATTTGAGCCACACAGTCCATAACCTTTTTGCGTTAGTCATTTTTCAGATAGGATCTTGCATTCTTTTCCCTTGTTGGCCTGGACTGGATCATTCTATTTGAATAGGATGATCCTATTTGAATAATAGTTGGAATTATACCTATGCTCCACAATGCAGGACCCCAGAAGACTATTTTTAAATCTATAGGTATAACTTTAGTGATGTCAAACTCTTAACTTGAGTACTAATACTATGTTATATTTTTAGGTCATCATCTTCTCTTTCTATTAAACAAGCAGCTAATAAACCAACGAGTAGGGTACACTATTGTAAATTATGTTCAAATCCCAACTTCAGTATAATCACAAAATGGGTACTGTCATTATTTCATTTCAAACTTCTTTCTAACTAATGGATGAAAGGCATTTTTAGTCATCAAATTTAAAATTTCATTTAAAGTTTGTACTATGTTACATTTTATTAGTTTTTTGGGGCCAAGGAATTTTGCCTGTGTATTTCCTTTTGGGTACCTCTGTTGACAATGTACTAAACAGAGTGTTGATTCACAGATCATCCCTATGAGAAATACCTATCCTCATGTGGTTCTCCTTTACCTTCTTGATGCTCATTCCTTTGTTCAGGAATACTCTCTACTACAACCACCTCCCATTGCCTTTTACCATGCAGTCTCCTGTAATGATACCAACAAGATTTTCTCTCAATTAGTCATTTTTATTTTTTTTTTCCTTTTCTACCTCTTTTCTTCCAGTGAGAAATCAGTATGATCACATTCTAAAATGTGATTTTTACATGGCTCAGACTCCTCTAGGGATGCTTAATGTTATACAGATTTACTGTAGAGCATATACTACAATTTTTGCTCTATGGGTGCCAAGTAACTCTAAAACTCAAAGGTAAACAAACATTCTTACAACTGCAGCAGGATTTTCTATCAGGAGTACTGAATATTGAACTCAGTCATTCTAACTGGTCATAAAAGCAACAATTCTTGAGCCAGACTTATTTCTGTTAGTGTATGTACATTGGATTAGCTATGAACTCTGGTATTTCTAAAAGTTCTTTATATACTGTATATCCTGTGGGGTTTCTAGAGTCTCTGGTCACTTGAAGCACATTGTAATCACAATCTAGGATAGTTTTTTCTATTTCTTGAAGTTTGTTGACTCCTGGTGCATGTCTTGCTTCAATTTAGATGAGAAATTATAAGACTGTTGTATATTTCAGGGATTCTTTATAATAAGAGTGCTTTGAAATGAGTCTCTATTACATCTATCAAAACAGCTGTGTTGAATCCTTTTCCCTTCTAATCCTTTTCCATTATAATAAGAAACATGTGGATTCTTTAAAGGAACTGAAATTTATGTTGATTAAACTGAATAATGCAAGTCATTTAAGCTAATCATGGTTATAACTACTTTCTATAACATTTAAATCAAAGAAAAATTCCTTGATTTGCCAAATATAGCAACAAAGAAATTCAGTTTTATCAGTTTTAGTTGAAAATTCTGACATTACACTTAGGTAGAAGATAAATAAGAATAGAAGATCATCTTTGATTTTTAAACCACACCCTACTCCATAAGAGGTTTTACTAATTACTGATCAAAGTTCACAGATATGATTACCATGCTTATGTCTTTAATTTTCTCATTATAATAGTATTTCTAAACATTTGCGTTTGGAAAATGGTAAAAGAAGTTCATTCACCCATAATCTTACCACATAATACAATTATTTATTTGAATACTACCATATATTCAGTAATGTTGTTCTATAAGTAGGTAGTAATAAGATTTTTTAAATACATGGTTGGAAATAGGTAGGTTCTGCTTCTGAGCATTTATATTATTTCATATGCATTTATAGTTTATGTAATTAATGCCTCTATTACAAATTTTAAAATATTTTGCCATGTTTTTCATAACTACATAATAGTCATTGGTTTTCTGCGGTTTGTACTTTTCTATAATCTTAGGACCCTTCAAAAGTGGTTGACCATTATTTCTCTCCTCTGAAGTGCAGGGTTGGAGCAAGAAAGGTACAACGTTACTATCTGTGTCATTTCTATATCATGCCCTGTTTCTAAATCACAATTTCTTCTAGACTTTTCTATGAACTGTTCATTGGTGACTGCAGCTCTTCAGCTTTAACTTTCCCCTACATTTTTTTTTCTTTTCTGTCAGTTGTGGGGCTTGAACTATGGGCCTAGGTGCTTTCCCTGAGCTTTTCATCTCAAGGTCTATCTCTTGTGCCACAGAGCCACTTCCGGTTTTCTGGTGGTTAATTGGAGATTAGGATCTCATGGACTTTCCTGCCTGGGCTGGTTGTGAACTGTGAACCTCGGATCTCAGCTAGGATTACAGGCATGAGCCACTGCACCCAGCTTCCCCCTACATTTTCTGATGATGTTGCCACCCTTTTCACTTTCCTTGAATTCATTATGATCATGCATTTACCAGTACTACTTAGTTCTTTAACTTCAAACTAAGTGATCTCTGCCTGTACTCTTTTATACTCTTATGACAATACCTAATGAGTAATGGAACTTGTGTGGATTTCAAAGAATTTTACTCTGATAACAATCACCAATATTATTTTTAAAATAAAAGATAAGCTTTTTTTATCATCCATTATGATTTCCATTCTCCCTGTAGTATGTTTTCCTGTGAGCTGTGAACTCCATTCATTCCCTCTCACCCTTAACTTTATTGAAAACTCCTACCCTTTGATTCATTTTCTCACCTGATTCACAAAACATCTACTCAAATTGAATCCAATAATTGCTCTTGTTTCAGTCACCAGGTTGGCTATCACTCAGCTGAGATTAGCCCTATTCTAAACATGTGTTCTTCCTTATCATGTTTTCTGACTTATTTAAGAATTTCCCTAGTACTTAGTCAGCTACTTCCATATTTCCTCTATTATTTTCCATTATTTTCAAGTGAACACTGTCCAACTTCCATCCACCTTTGACACATTCACCAGATGATATTGCCTCCTTTTTCACTTACACATAAAGTATATCAGAAACTAACTGCCTTTAATTGTACAGAAATATCATATGTACCTATGAATCTGTAATTATTAATTTTAAAGTTAGAATTAAATGAGATCCCAGTACCACCATATATTTCAAAATTAGTTTGGAAATCCTAGCCAGTGTGAGACTAGAAATGTGTAGAAAGCTAAGAACTCCAGGAAAGCAACAAATTTTATGTGAGGAAAAGATGATATCTTAAGAAATACAGCAGTAGAAATATGAATTTACTAAAGTACCTAAATTGGGAATTACTAATTTGTGTGACAATCTGTGTATGATATATAATCCTTATGAGCTGATGGTTAAAGCTGAATATGGTAATGTACAATTTTCATTGGGGCAAAATGTTTAGAAGTTCTGTCTGAAAATTGGAACCAATCATCCATCACTAACATAGTAGTTAATTCCTTCTATTTTCAAATTCTCAAGGAAATTTCAGTTCCCTATTAACAGGATACATTTTTCTAATAAAATGTTAAAAATCATAAATTATTTCATTTTAATTATTTAAATAATCCAAAAAGTAAAGTACCTTCCTGGGAATTTTCATCTTAAAGAATATTTTATTATCATATATATCTAGAGGTCTATAGACATACATATCTAATAGCAAAATAAGTCATTCTCAGTGGAAATCTTTTCAAGTATTCAAATATGGTAGCTAGTTTCATTATATTAGTCAAACTACTATATTGAAAGACAAAATTTCATAATTTTATTAACTCAAAATACAAATAATATGGTTAAAAGTTTTTATTTTATTTTATTTATTTTTTGTTGGTTGTGGGGCCTGAACTCTGGGCCTAGGTGCTGTCCCTCAGTTCTTCAGCTCAAGGCTAGCGCTCTACCACTTGAGCCACAGCACCACTTCTGGCTTTTTCTGCTTACATAGTGCTTAGGAATCGAACCCAGTGCCTCATGCATGCAAGGCAAGCACTCTACCACTGAACTACCTTCCCAGCCCCTGATCAAAACTTTTATATTATTTATTTTCATTTTTGGTGTCTCTCTGAAATTAAGTTACCAAGAATGGAAAAATATTATATTTATTTAATGTTTAAATGTTTACCATTGAACTTTGTGAATATTTGAATGTATTTAAGTTAATATTTAAATACTAATAACATTTTCTAAGGAATGATAGCTTATTTAGCTTATATAACAATGTAGAGTTACATTATGCTATATTGTTTTAGTATACATTTTGTGATTTGAATGACACTCAAAACAATTTTACCTAAACTATGAAATTGAAAATTATACTATTGGCTTACTGATTTATTTATACATTTCTTCTCAAATTATAGTAATATAGTCTAGATTTCACAGTTAATATTGGTATATTTGAAAGGAAACACCTAAATTGTCATTTTGACTATTAATACCTTGTATAAGTATCATTCATTTCCATGAGACCTATGGTAATTAATATTGGTGTTTTTTTAGGTATAGCTTACTTGAATGGAATATGTAGTGAAAAGCGGAAATGTATTATTGCTGAAGACAATGGCCTGAATCTGGCATTTACAATTGCTCATGAGATGGGTCACAAGTAAGTAATAGTCATCACTATCTTAAATAGAATATTTCTTCTTAATTTGAATTACTGAATTTCATGTATATCTTTGAAATTGAGGCAAACAAGAAAAAGTATCTAAATTGCGAATGTCTTCTCAAAGTTCTAACAAGTGTATTTCTTTTTGGAAAATGTCACTCTTTCCCTTATTCTTTGTGTTTTTCCCTCCAGTCCCCACTCAAAAACTATGTAGTTCATTTTCAACCTAGTGTCTAGTGAGTATCACTGCTGTAAGTTCATTTTCAACATAATGTCTAGAGAGTATCAGGGCTGTAATTGTTAACCTTTTCTCTCACCATTTCTGTATTCCCCTCCTCAGGACAGATAGAGAAAAAAGTAACACAAAAGGAAAAGAAAACAAAAGCGGCAATAATGAAAAGAATCTTTTGTTTCAATTTCCTGGAGTCCATTTTGCTAAATGTTATCTTATATAATCAAATGCACATATCTCTTGAGTCTTTGTGATCCTCTCTCAGGAATATCCTTTTTTGGTATCAGTCATTGTGTGTGAATGGTATAATCTATCATGTCACAGTATATTTACTTTTTTTTAACCATCTAGTGTGTTTACTTGTAGATTTATAGTTACACATCCAAGTTACCAAAAATGAGGGAAACCAGGCAATTTATATTTCTCTGGGTCTGGCTTATTTGGCTTAATATAATTTTTTCCAAGTTTTTTTCCATTTCCTTAAAAGCAGTACAATATCATTCTTTCTAAAGGATGAGTAGAATTCCATTTTGTATATATATTCCTGATCCATTTATCTACTTTGGGGAATCTGTTTTGATTCATTCCATATCTTAACTATGGTAAGCAATACTTCAGTGAACATGGTTGTGCTGGTAGCTATAGTGTGACCTTGTTTGTGGTCATTTGGCTAAATGCCCAAAAGTGGTATTAAGGTCATGTGTAGTTCTCTGTTTAATCTTTTGAGGAATCTCAACACTGCCTTCCAGAGTGATTGAACAAGTTTATGTTCCCACTAACAGTGTAGTGCATTCTTTTTCAGTCACATCCCCACCCATATTTGTTATTGTTAGGTTTCTTGATAATGGCCATTCTCAATGTTGTTTTAATTTGTATTCACTTTGTGGCAGGAATGTTGAACATCTCTTCACAGGTCTATTGGCCTTTCTTATTTCTTCTCCTGAGAAGTCTCTCTTTAAATTTTTAGCCCACATGTTAATGGGGTTGTTGTTTCTTTGAATATTTTTTCTTAGTGGGGGGGGTGAGTTTTTGAGTTCTAAGTGTATTTTAGATAGGCAGCTCTTGTTTGATGCATGGCTAGTAAAGATTTTGATTTGATTTTCTGTGTCTTCTCTCATATCCTTTAGCTGAGTGACTATTTTTCATTGGACTTACTTTGCTTCTCAGAATTCATTTAGATTTGTTTGTGGATTCCATGAATTCCTCTAATAATCTTTGGTCAGTCTCATCATAAGCTTAAACTTACCCATGGGCAAGCTTTCTGTCTTTTTATTCAACATATTTTTCAGCAGTGTTTTAAAAGCATGTTGAGAACCATCTTCTAGATCTTTCATTGACTTCTCTGTTGCCTTGTTATTTTGTGTAGGAGTTGAGGTTCCCTGACTTGGCCATTTTTCTTGTCGTTTTATGATTTGTGCTGCCCATTTGGAAACAAAAGGAAATCTAATACCACAACAGAACCCAATTTAAAGTCAAAAACCAACCCAGAGCCTTACAATTGCACAAACTTTAAATCAGAGGTTTTAAATCATATATAGGTATTCCTCTATATAAATATTTATTCACTTTTCTTTGAGGATTGGGGTACAGGAAAGGAGATAATATATATGTATGTATGTGTATAGATATATATATATTATGTATATAGCTGAAGCCAGTGAACAAGTCTTTTGTTAGTGATAAATCAAATAAAAAAGATAACTAGGTGAGTCAATTAGAGTCAAAATGGAAACAAATTCAGTCTGCCTCACAGACAATTAGTGATCAATGGATTAAAGAAAAGGAAGAAAGAGGGAAGAATAAGTAAAGGAATAAATAAAGGAAAACAAAGTTAAGTGAAATTAAAAGAAATAGAAAGAGATATAAAAAATAAAGGGAGAAGCAAATAAGAAGAGGTTTAATGAAAAGGAAAAATACCAAAGGAAGAAAAGACCTAAAATTTTAAAAAAAAATTAAGAAAAAAACATAAATTAATAAATGGAGAAATAGAAATTTGAGCAATCAAAAATATAGCCAGAATTAAGTATGCACACATTAAGAAAGAGACCTACTAATCACCTTAGACTGAATATCTAGGACTTAGCAGAATATCAAAGAAAAGAAACCTAAGAAGACAAAAACATAAGTTCTTCAATTTGCTTGAGGGACCTTTAGTCTCCTGATGAACTGGTAGGCAGTTTCTTATTGCAAACTGTGCTTCACTGCTGCGGTCAGTACCAGGCCCAATACCAGGTCAGTACCAGTGGGGAGTGGAGTTCCTCATTTCGCAGGTCGGAGGAATCTGTTATGTTTGTAGGTTGGGCTCTGCACTGCTTATGTATACAAGGTTGAGGCATATATGGGGGTTTATGTGGGAGCCTGGCTGTTAACTAGATTCTTACACTCAGCCTGTCTGAACCTTACTTAGAACTCAAAGTGAGCAGATGACCCCTTTGAGAGGGCCTGACTCCCCCTGGGCAGTCCTGACTCCCCCTGGGAGGGGCTGACCGTGGGCGGGGCTGACTCCCGTGGGTGGGGCTGACCTTGGGTGGGGCTGACCCCCCTGGGCGGGGCTGATCTGGACGGGGCTGACCCTAGGTGGGGCTGGCCCTTGGTGGGGCTGATTCCCTCGTGCTGCAGCTCCTTTAGCCTTCATTCACTCTGAAGATGCACAGAGGGCCGGGGGTTCCACTGCCCCGCCCCTGGTAGCCTCCGTTGTGTCCTTCCATGCAGGCAATGTGTATTCTTTTCTCTGGTGTGCCCATCTGTTTAGTTACCGCTGACCTGACTAGCTGTGGGAAGCTGGCTGGCCCACAAGCTCTGCCTCATCCAAGAGCCTGGGGTTCCCTGGAGTCTCCTCCGCCCTGCCCCTCAGGCGCATTGAGCCCTGTGCTCCTTGGCGGGCATGTGAGGTTAGGGTTCATGGATAGAGGGCAGTGCTTTCACTTCCCAGGACTCCTCCTGGAGAAGACGTGGGGGGGCGGGGTGCTCTGAGGCGGCTCCTTGCCCGCACCGGTGCCAGCGGCCCGTGACCCGGCCAGCGGACGCCATGTGAACCGAGGGCCCCGCTCACACACATGGTCACTGTGAACACGGGCGTCACTGCTCAACAGGAGAAAAGCAAAGAGACAGATACAATGTTCAGATGTTGAGACCTGGCCAGAGCTCCCTGGCTTTGCAGACAACAGAATCTGGTCAGGCACCCACCTTCTTTCCTTCGCGAACATTCTTGTACTCTGCTCATAACCTATCGATAAAGGAACAGTTCTTATCAAAAGTGAGTAGGAGGACTTAAATCATACACAACTTGATGAATTCTCAACAACCGAACATGCTCATGTGTCCAAAAGTAAATCTATCACAAAGATGTGAATCCGTCATTCATTAAGAAAGCAAAGACTTACTACATACAACCCTGTGTGTAGTACTTTGAAGACACATTTTCGTTTTCTCCTATGAAAACTCCCAGACATCAGTCACTTGATTGCAGCCCAAGTTACTTTCTGCAGAGAAATGAAATTCAAAATATTCAAAATATGTGAGGGAAAATTTAAATGATAATGGTCTGGGCTTAGTGGGAGATCCTGTAATCCAGGTATCTGAAAGATTGGACTGCAGCCAGCCAAAGCAAATCAGGACCTTACCTTAATAAAGAAAACAGCCTGTTGATTTCCTGGTATAATCTCAGGTAATGGAAGCATAGGTGGTAGATAGGTAGAAAAACACCCTGGAAAGCCAGAAATTCAAGAATGCGTCCAAAAAATAACTGAAGCAAAAAAGCAAGTAATTGAACACCTTCCTGGCAAAGTCAAGGCCTGGGTCCAAATCCCTATACCACTCACTCACAAACACACACACACACCAATAATAGGGTTTAGACTCTTTTTTCGTTTTGTTTTGCTTTGTTTTAATTGTGAAGATATAGTACAGAGGGGTTACAATTACATGAACAAAGTAATGAGTACATTGTTGCCTCCTCCTTTGTTTCCCCTTCCCATCCCTTCATATCCCACCCCCCCACCCCCCCCACCCCCAACCAAAGTTGTAAAGTTCATGTTTGGACATACCATCTTGTACATCTCATTGTTGCAATAGATCCACCTGTATCCCTATTTAAACAATTGTTTTTTTTTTCCTTCCCCTCCACAAATTATACCAGCATCAAATACAGTGAAAACTGTGGGGGAGGAACATAAAAAGCAACAAAGAAATCACCTTAGAAATATGTTAGAAACAATAGCAAGAAAGAAAGACCATTTGAGTCCTTATTTTGGGGTTAATTTTGCTTAACATCAACTTATCTGACCTTTTCTGCTTGACTCAGAAATATACTAGTTATTGCAAATAAGGGAAACCATGGGACCTATGTTTCTTTGGGCTTGGCTTCACATAATTTTTTCCAAGTCTTTCCATTTCCTAACAAATGGGGGGCAATGTCATTCTTTCTGATGGAGGCATAGAATTCCATTATGTATATATACCATATTTTCTTGATCCATTCATCTACTGAGGGCATCTGGGTTGGTTCCATATCTTAGCTATGGTAAATAATGCTGCAATAAACATAGTTGTGCTGGTAGCTTTAGTATGGTCTTGTTTGTAAACATTTGGGTAAATGCCCAAAAGTGGGATTGCTGGGTCATAGGAGAGCTCTATGTGGAGTCTTTTGAGGAACCTCCATAATACTTTCCAAAGTGGTTGAACAAGTTTACACTCCTACCAACAATGAAGTAAGTTTCCCTTCTGTCTGCATGCCCTCCAGCATCTGTTGTTATTAGAGTTCTTG